TATATATATATACACACATATACATATATATATATATACATATATATATATATATACATATACATATATATATATATATATACATATATATATATATACATATACATATATATATATACATATACATATATATATATACATATACATATATATATATATACATATACATATATATATATATACATATACATATATATATATATACATATACATATATATATATATATATATATATATATATATACATATATACATATATATATATATATACATATATACATATATATATATATACATATATACATATATATATATATATATATACATATATACATATATATATACATACAGTATATATACATATATATATATATACAGTACAATTACAAAATTGCAGATTTTATTGCTGAGGTTTTCATGTCAGATGAAAAAAAAGTGATTTAAAACCTTTTCATATATTAAATTCTTCATCTTGATCACATTCAGGTTTGTAAAAAGATATTAAAGATGTTTTGTTTCTCAAAATTATACAAGTGTTCACCAAAAGCCCGGCTCACACTGTGGTTCTAATCCTAATCATAAACAATTGTAGCACATCAGGTTGCATTAATAAGACTCCATTGTCTCACCGTTAGATTTCAGCTTTCATAGGGTCAGACTGAAAAACAATCAAGATGCGCCAAACAGAGACACGCAAGAAAACTCCCCGGGAGTTTGATGCCATGACACATTCACTATTATGTGTTCTGAAATAATACCATACAGCAAACAAACAAACTGTAGAGGTAATCTTGCTAATAAAAGAACAAACAGAATTAAAAAAATGTTTAATGTTTTGACATTTTGCCATGCTGGTTTGTCATTTTGATGCTTTGACATCATATTTAGTGCTCCTATTAGTTCTTGGTTTAATGTAAGTCATCACTCTGCAGGAAAGTGTCTGAAGTCTTCTGACAATGCCTAAACTTCATCCGAGTGAAAATTTGATCGTCGAACATGTCAAACCAACAATCAAAGACCACCGATTTTGGCCTAGGATTTCTCGTATGTGTCTCAGACAACCAAATCATCGCTGAAATCGCAGTGCGAGCAGGGCTTAACACACAAGCATACAAAGTCAGGTGTTAACTGACACATCTTCTCCCAGACATTAACCAACATAACAAGGATCTTCATGCACTTAAACGTGCACAATGAATCATTCTCGAGTCTCTGAGGGGATTTGTTCACATCATAGTTCCTGTCGCTTCTTCAATATGATATTCCTGACAAGCGTTGTGGCTTCTTTCCGGATGTCACTTACAGGTTCCTCTGGCTTCCAGAAACGCACCACTTGGCCCTCAGGACTCACAAGAAACTTCCAGAAGTTCCATTTGGGAATCTTCTGTACAGAATCTAGAAATGTAGGCGAAAAAGTTAATTAAATGAAACAAATAAAACAAAAATAAATTATACATATAAATAAAATTAAAATACATATAAATAAGTTTTGTATTTTTTGACACCACCATATACTAGGGGTGGGGTGATATATCGTGATATTTCCAGCCACGATATATTATCGATACTCTGATGCCAAGTATCGATATTTATCTAAATGTACAAAAGATCTAAATTACTTAATCAGTCTTACACTGACAGCAGCAGTTTACTGCTTTGTCTGCATTACACCCAGAGTGAGAATTCAAACCGTTACATTCTGCCAACATTAATATTAGATAATAGGGTTGGGTGATGTCGACCAATTTGGCATTGTACGATTTCTAATGTGAAACACCGCGATGGACGATGGCATCATCGTCATAGGCAGAGGTGAATTAATTATATATAAATAATTCATGCATTCATAACGAATCATTTAATTGTAGCCTACCGTTTCAACTACCAGACCCGCAAGGTCTTTGTTTTACCCATGAACAAATCATAAATAAAGATAAGTTGCACACAAAATAACACCTGTCAATCACTTTTTCCGCGGGAGGTTAGTCGGTAAAAAAGGAGCCCAACCAACAGTATCTGAGGTTTTTACTAAAATTGCTAAGTAGTGTGAAAGTTACAGACTGAAGCAGTGTACTGAAGCTGTGACACATTACCTGATTCAAACGACCAATTCTTACCAGATTCAAACGACCAAAGAGTCGTGAGATAGAGACGAGATTAATTAAATATCACCTTTAACAACTATAGTGAGACACGATTCAGCAGTACATCCTTGATAAACTGTGAAAGACACGTGATGTGTGTTTTCAGCTGATAGAGGGCTATTCAGAAATGCTAGGTAAAACACGGTGTGGATGTGGATCATTTTCATTCTAAAATGCCATTTTAACACTAAGACATATTAGTGTAAACCGGGCTTAAGTGTGTATTTTTCGCGTGCGGGTGTGCAACGGGGCGAGGCGGAGGATCGGCTGGCGATGCTGGCTCAGCATCGTGTTGTCTATTGGCCATCGGCAATGGACGATGACATTGTCTATCGGCCCAACCCTATTAGATAAAGATATCAATAGGACATGAAGATTTAATTTTGAAGGGCCTTGGGTTTATTTACTCATTACAGACCTTGGGAAAGTCTTGTAGATGGTATCATGAAAACTTTGCCTGAAAATATTAAGAAAATAAAAATTAAAAAAACTCACATTTTTTTTTATTGAAGATAAACTAACTAATGTTCTCCACTGCTTGAGACTTAAGTGCTCAGAGGAGTCTGTGCTCACCTCTCTACGCATTCTGATCAGTTACTGTTCTTGAAGAAAATATATTAATCTAGTGGAAATCTAAGATTTTGCATGATTCAAAATAAACTAGGGCTAAGCATAAAATAAACATCAAACAAGTTGGCCAAGTTGTAATAAGTGTCTTAAGTTAACAGCAATCTAGAAAGCAATAAATTGTTATTTTGACAGTGTTTCTTAAATGTATATTCCTCTAAATTGAGATTCGGTTGCTTTTCAGTCACAAACTGCTCGCTGCACATCAGGATTTTAAAGCTTGTTTGACAGCTGTGTGCTTTTTTTTTTACATTGTTGCAATTATATAAAATGTGCTGTTAATAAAACAAATGCATCTTTTTGATTTTTTCATTAATTTACAAATATTGTGATATACTGTATCATGGATGGTTTTCTTTATCAATATCGAGGGGCAAAATATTGTGATTACATCGTATCGTGATAATATCGTATCGCAAGTAAACCTGTGATTCTCACCCTTATTATTTATTAAATTTAAAGTATTATTCTCATTTAGTTACTCACTTTATTCTACAATGCAGAAATAAGCACTTTTCTGCAATTGATTTATGATTCACTTGCCAATGGGCAAAATGACTGGAAACAATAAACTGCAGTGAATGGTCAAACTGATCTACAAACAAGCGTGTTTATCACTATACATAAACAATCTATTTTTTTTGCAACACAAAGCAGCATAACAAGCTGTGAATGAGACTGTATTGTGATACATTTATGACTGAATATTGAACAGGCAAGTTTATTTATTTAATTATATTTTTGTCTTGCTTGTTGCCAGATTTCTGAGATGGAAACCAGCAACAGTTTCTTGTTAAAATGGCCCAAAAATTATTAAAGACAAATTACTTTAAATCTGTGAATTAATACAGTGGCGACAATAAATTTTTGCATATTTTAGTTTTTTACTGGTTCTAGGTTCTATAAAACACTACTATGAACATTTTGATGATGTTTGAAAGTGAAACTGACCATATTTTAGTTTTAATTTACATAATAAAAAATAGCGCTATAAGAAATGTTAAATCAATTTTCAGAAATGAGATTAATTTATCTAAAAGCTGAATAAATAATCTTTCAACAGATTTTGTTTGGTTTGTTAGGATAGTCCAATACTTGGCAGTTTTTGAGTAAATTCGAGTAAAATCACCTTTAAAAATTTCCAGATTAAGTTAATACATATTTCAAATCAAAACATTTGCTTTAAATCTTTAAAAAATATTTTTACATTTGAATATTTACATCAGAAGAGGTTTACTTAATACTCTAAAGATATTTTAGCATAAAACAAAAATCTATAATTTTGACATGCAGGGTATTTTCTTCTATTCTGAAATAATGTAGTTGTGAAACAGTATGTATTTAAAATATTTTGGTGCATATCTGCATTTTATCTGTTTGTTCATGTTCTATTAATTCAAGACACAATCTTGTTCAGTACAAAGTGTTACACAGACTTCATTATTCTAAAACAAAGCTTAATAAATTCTATCCATTGGTTTCCTCCACATGTGAAAAGTGTAAAGCTGCTGAGGGTATTGTGTTTAAATTCAGAACTTTTGATAAGAAATATTTCAGTTCTTTGCTAAAGTTTACAATTGTCTTTTACTCCCTGTACAGTTGGGAGTGTACAGTTACCTGTTCAGTATGGCATGATCATAGCTAAAAAAAAAAAAAAAGATATCCTTTGTTTTTAGAAGAAAAATTTAAAGCCTCTTTTTCTGACTGGCTTCTTGGACTTACCTCCACTTTACATTTGGAAAGAATTAGATATACCACCTCTGGGAATTCTGCGAAATTTGATCAAATGTGTGATCCAGTCTTTTTTTTTTTTTTTTTTTAACACCATAAAGACAAAGTGTTGTTCTGTGTGTTCTGAAGTTTTTTTCTCTCTCTTTACAACCATTGCTGTGTCTTTTTGTAGGTCATACAGTATATGTTTTGTATGTCGCCATTTTCTCCGGTTTTATGCTTAATTTTTACATTTTGCACAGATTATTGTTTCATGATGGGTTTGTCTGTCTGTTCTTTGTTTTTCTGTCGGCAAAAATTCTAATAATAAAAATATATATATAAAAAGAAAAAATAAACCTGGGGCCTTAAAAAAACACAAAATTAAATACAAAATAAAGGAAAATAACAGTAAAATGGTCCACTTTTTGAGAAACTTTTTGAGTTTTTGTAGTGTCAGAAAGGTGGCACCCTCGAGGGGTCGCTATTAACAGCTATGAAAAATAAAATAACTTTAAAACAAGAAAAACATACCGTTTTTCATATTGTTTGTACATAATTTGCTTTCAATTGTCCTAGCAAAAAACACGTTACTAAATTAAGATTTTCTTTCTCATGACCTACCTGTGAGGAATCTGAATGCGGGCTCCGCCTCAGACCCCATTATTTTGATCTTGTTGAAGATGGGGAACGTCACGCCATAGTTGGATTTGGCAAACGCTTCAATTTCTCGGCTAGTACCTGATTCAGTGTCCCCGTACTGCGAGCAGGGAAACGCGAGCACGTTAAAATGCGACGTGCCGAGCTCTCTGTGCAGCTCCTGCAGAGCCCGGTAACTCTGCTCCGTTAACTCGCTTCCACTCGCCACGTTTACAACCAGAGAGACCTATAATCAAAGACAGAGAGCCCTCGAGTAAAAATACCGCTGTTTTGGACATATTTTGTGACACAATATAGTAGGACAACCATGAGTCTATCAAAAGGCTGATAAATGAAGCAAACAATCTAAAAACAAAACTTAGTTTGTTTTTGCATAACTCACTTTCCCTCGGTATTTCTCCAGTGAGACGGTCCTGCCTCTCGCGTCCTTCACCTCATACGAGTAGAAATCTTTGGTTTTTCGCGACTTTGACAGTTTGTTCTGCAGGAGATACAGCGAGCCCATGCACAAAGCCACACTCAGCAAGACTTTGAACAGTCCTGCTCGTGAAGCAGAAGACTTGCTGGGGTATCCCCCGAGCGCCTCCATGATGGAGGATCAATATATGGGAGAAGAATCTCGGCAAAAAAACGTTGAAGTTTTTGTGGGCGTGTCCAGGAGCAGGGGGCGTGTCTAACGACAGAGCCATTGGTGAAGAACGCTGTCAGTCAAATTTATCTTCTTCTCTTTTTAAAGTTATTTAAAAGGAAACACGACATTGTCAATTGCAACATTAATTCACATTTACATTTAAAATACATATTAAAAACAAAAAACAAAGGTCACTCGTTATTTTTCTTTGAAGGTGTAATTCTCGCTATTAATTGGATAATTCACTCAAAATAAAATCTACTCACTATTTACTCGCCCTCAAACCTTCATAAGTCTGTTCTGCTGAATACAAAAGAAGAAATTTTCAAAAAAGCTGAAATCCTGTATCCATTGACTTCCATGAAAATAAATAATAATGTAGATAAATACTATAGATAATACTATAGTATATAAAATACTATAGATAATAATGATGACAGGCAGTGGCGGATTTAGGCATGGGCAATATGCAATAGTATCTGGATGCAGCCTTTATTATGCAAGCTGAGATTGCATCACTCAGCGATACAATGTCAGACACAATGCACTCAAATGGAGCTAGTGATGTCACTGTGAGGGGAAGGGTTAAGGGTGGGGTTAGGTGAGCCCATTAAAAAGCATTGGCTGCAGATTGCATCCCAGATTGCACTGCACCAGGTCTGCATCCAGACCCCTCTTGCAATATGGGCGATCATCCAGGGCGGCATCTTGCTGGGGCGGCACAGGGAGACAAAAAAGTGCCCCAGACTAGTAAAAGCTTTGAGATAAGAATTAGTTTATTTAAGTGTATAGAGCGATTATCCAAGAATAAAGATGTTAGGGGCCATTCACATTTGGCTTCTTTTGCACACACAAGTTTGTTATTCTTTATGTGCAACCGAAACAACACTGGTGAAAACAAATTGACACATGTGCGAAGAAAGCCATTCCCGCGCCCCTCACACTCGCTGCCCCTTGATCCCGGTTGTTTAAATGCACACCGATATGCGTCGACAAAACTAAAGTTTACATAATATGATGATGATACTTTGACTAAGCATGGCTATGAAGCAGAAAGGACGAATAATAAGTCAGGGAGTTAACCAAGACATCATGATATTATTTCTCGGCTATCTGGTCTAAAACAAGACACTTCTATAAAACACATATTTTTTTGTATTCTGTTGAACTGTCAAAATTAATACTCATGCTAAAGTCTTAGAAATTACTCCAGTTGCGTCTTTACATTGTTTTTCAGTTACATTTAGGATTGATTTATGTTGTTTTTTAGAATAACAGCTGTAAAATAATAATAATAATAATAATGATAGGAATAATAATAATAATAATAATAATACTTTATATATTATTATAATGTATAGTTTGGATGTTAATGTATAAAATTGGATGTGCCAAAACTTTCATCAGTTAAACAAAGAGAAAACTGAAGTGATTGCATTTGGGAACAGACATGAGGTTCGCAAGGTGAATGCGTACCTTGGCACTAAAGGTCAAACAACAAAAAAATAGGGTCAAGAATCTTGGAGTGACTCTGGAGTCAGATCTGAGTTTCAATAGTCATGTCAAAGCAGTTAGTAAATCGACATACTGTCATCTCAAAAACATTGCAAGAATCAAATGCTTTGTTTCAAGTGAAGACTTAGAGAAACTTGTTCATGCTTTTATGAGCAGCAGGGTGGATTACTGTAACGGCCTCCTCACAGGGCTTCCCAAAAAGGCAGTCAGACCTTTGCAGCTCATCCAGAACGCTGCGGCCAGGATTCTAACCAGAACCAGGAAATCAGAGCACATCACACCTGTCCTCAGGTCTTTACACTGGCTCCCAGTCATATTCAGAATAGATTTTAAAGTATTATTACTGGTCTATAAATCACTAAACATCCTAGGACCTCAATACATTACAGATTTGCTCACTGAAAACAAACCTAACAGATCACTCAGATCTTTAGGATCATATAAACTAGAAGTTCCAAGAGTTCAGTCAAAGCAGGGTGAATCAGCTTTCAGCCACTATGCCCCCCGCTGCTGGAATCGGCTTCCAGAAATGATCAGATGTGCTCCAACATTAGGCACATTCAAATCAAGACTGAAAACACATCTGTTTAGCTGTGCCTAACAGATGTGTTTTCAGAAAACACTGAATGAGCACTGTGCTGCGTCTGACAGACCGCACTATTATGTTTTTCTCTTCTTTTTCATTCTTTTATAACCGGTTTTCTGTTTTATTATTTTTAATCATTTTTATAATTTGTTTTTATTTTCTTACACTTTTCTCTTTTATTCCTGTTTATGTAAAGCACTTTGAATTGCCAATGTGTTTGAAATGTGCTATATAAATAAACTTGCCTAATAATAATAATAATAATATTAAATTGTTACATTTATTGAAAATAAATGAACATATTTAAAAGTATTCATAATAATTATTTTAAATGTATATATTGAAAATATATATTTAAATATTTTAAATGTATATAAAGTCATCCGTATAGTGTCTTTATTTCTTGGGGGATGGGGAAGGGGGATGTTTGGGGTTCGGCCAGGGTGCCATTTAAACTAGAACCACCACTGATGACAGGTTTCAAGCTTCATTAAATCTCTTTTGTGTTCAACAGAAGAAAGTCAAACAGGTTTGGAACAAGTTAAAAGTTAGTGAATGAGTAAATGCAGAAAATATATATATTTTTTAATTTATGCAGTAAGTGGTTTTTAAAATGCTAGTGACTTTTTTTTTAACTGAACGCAAGAAAACTAATAAATATGGTTGGATTATCACTTTGTTAGTGTTGGCATTAAACATTATTGGGGATCTTTATACTAAATTTACCAAGAAATTTCCTTTGGCGTGACATTGAATGCCCATTTTACAAACTGATATGATTCTTAATGGTCTTAATGATTGGTTAATTTAACACCATTTTTACCCTGTCCAAAACACCTCAGTGGAGTAAGCCGTTTTGCTTCATGTCTCTTTAAATGCTAATGAGCTGCTGCTGCCCTGTCCCTCTTTGAGGCAGCAAAATCAAGGCTGTTTTAGCTGGGGTTTTCCAATATGGAAAAAAAAATTGATACCAATTACTAATAAATATAATTGAAAATCTGCAAATATATTAAAACCTTTAAATCAACATCTTAAAAGATGAAACAGAATATCTGGTATAATAATAATTCATTCATGTGTGGTTCACTGTGCAAAGAAAGGAAGAACATCATTGTTAGCTGCTTTGCTATCTGTTTACAAAAAGATGTGGGTAAAAGGGTGGAGTAGATAGTTTCACTCTAGGCAGGAATGTGTAAAGAAGTAGCTGGATACATATAAACCAGCACAAAATTCTAACAGGTCAATTATGGCACATGAATACACTTAGACAAAACACAAACAAAAAAAGGGTCACAGATTAGTTTATCACAGAGAAAATGACATTTATTTTGAGCGTCCACAAAGTACTGGACACAAAGTTTTCTGTTGTCATTTATTAAAAGCAGCAGCTGATGTTTTCTAAAGTCGATTGACCACAGTCATCCGGGATGATGGCAGCTCCTGATCCAGCAGGCGGAAGAGCATGGCACATCTGTTGCGTTGAGAGATGTTGCCGAGAGTCTGATGCAGGCGAGCTTGTAGATAATAAATGTCTCTCATGCGCTCTTTACAGTCAAGGCGAGAGAAATACACCGCTGCCTCATCAAGTGTGTGCACGGCTAATTCCACAGCTGCAGGAGAAAAAAAAGATCACTTAAACACATGAAGTGTGAAATTAACAGAGTGAGATGTGCTCCAAACAGGAGGCAGTACCAGATAGTCTGTGTTCCTGTGCAGCAGCTCCTGCTGAAGCCATCTGACAGCGAGCGGCCAGCAGAAGAGCTCTGCCTTTGTCCATCAAAGAGCCGTGAGCCAAAACTGACTCCAGCACATCCTGCACCAGACCAAGAGCCTGCTCGGAGATCCCCAACATCAGCTATGAAGACAGATCACATTTGTTTTTATACTCATTAGTCCTTGTCACACATAATGTACATTCTTTTCTGGAAAATTACCGGTAAATGGCTGTAAAGAGATTAGGCATGGGAAGATAACTGGTTTTAAGGTTTACAATGGTTTGGAAAAGTCAAGGTTTTAAAACCACAAAAGTGTTCTGTTCAACCATTCCTATAGGGTGTATGCAGGTTATAAGTTTTTACGAATATTTTATTTTGTTTAAGGCAAGCATATCTTCAGCAGAAAAGGATCATCAAAAGCTACTGTTCAGCCCACAATTCAGGAAATTTAGTTTCTAGTCCAAATATCTGAAAACTCTTAAATCAAGAAGAATTTTCCAAACAAGCAAAGCATATTGTCTTCATTCATTCATTTATATTCTTGTTGGCTCAGTCCCTTTATTAATCCGGGGCCGACACACCGGA